TCGCTGAAGATGAATGTGTGCATAAGTAAGTGTGGTGAAGAAGGCTGATGGTGCCCGGCTATCGAGACCTATAGCATCTGGGGACTTAAAGGCTTGAAAGTAAACAAGCGGCCATCTAGCCCAGAAGCAACAAAGCCCACATGGAAGCAGCACACCAACATCTGTGATCAAGATTCTTAATGCCATGGCTGTGGGTGGAGTTGGGAACCACTGCCTGCTTCCTGCTCCTGTCCCATTGTTAACTCACCTCTGCTGTGGCACTCTCAGGGCAAACACCAAATGCATACAGCACCTTTGCTGCCTCGGCTTGGACCTCTGCGAGGTGGGGGGCGGGCCCTGAGGGACGCACCAAAGGTCGCTGCTCTAACCTTTCATTCAACGAGTATTGACAGAAAGCTCCCTCTGGACTTTCAACACTTTCTGGACACTCAGCCCCACCACCCAAGGCTTGCTCAGATCCTTTGCATTTAATTCTAACCCAAAATAGTAGCTAATATTGGTTAGAGGAGCCCTAGTGGCGTAGTGGTTACATGTTAGGCTGCTAACCACAAGGTCAGCAGGTCGAAACGACTAGCTTCTCTCTCCATGGGAGAAAGACCAGGCTTTCTACTCTTGTAAAGAAATTACAGTCTCGGAAATCCACAGGGGCAGTCCCACCCTGTTCTATAGGGTGGACTCCAAGGCAGTGAGTTTGAGAGTTTTAATACTGCTTAGAGGCTTCCTCTGTGCCAGGACTGGTATGCTGGGCACACTAAAGAGGGCTTAGGAAGGAGACTTTTTACAGAGCCGTGGGCAGGATTAAGGACACAGCAGGCTGGGGCAAATAACTCAAAGGCAGGACAGGAAGGGGCAGTCCAGGTTCTGTGCAGAATCCTCGACTTCCATGAAGATAATGTAGGTTCGATTCCTGGCTAATACGCCGAGCACAGCCATCGCCTGCCTGCCAGGGGAAACCTGTGTGCTGCTGGCAGGTGTCAGTGGAGCTGCCAGATGAGGGTGGGCTCAGAAGAAAGGCCTGGAGGTCTACTTACGAAAAGCAGCCCTCTCGAAACCC